AGAGAGAGAAAAAAAAAGAAAAAACAAGAGAGAGAAAAAACAAAGAGAAGAAAATACAAGAGAGAGAGAGAAAAAACAAAGAAAATACAAGAGAGAGAGAGAGAAAGAAAAAAAACAAAGAAAATACAAGAGAGAGAGAAAAAACAAAGAAAATACAAGAGAGAGAGAGAAAAAACAAAGAAAATACAAGAGAGAGAGAGAGAGAAAAACAAAGAAAATACAAGAGAGAGAGAGAAAAAAACAAAGAAAATAAAGAAGATAAGAGAGAGAGAGAAAAAAAACAAAGAAAAATACAAGAGAGAGAGAGTAAAAAAAACAAAGAAAAACAAGAGAGAGAGAGAGAGAAAAAAACAAAGAAAAACAAGAGAGAGAGAGAATAAAAAAACAAAGAAAATACAAGAGAGAAGAGAAAAAAAAAAGAAAATACAAGAGAGAGAGAGAAAAAACAAAGAAAATAAAAGAGAGAGAGAGAGAGAGAAAAAACAAAGAAAAAATACAAGAGAGAGAGAGAAAAAAAAAAACAAAAGAAAAAATACAGAGAGAGAGAAAGAAAAACAAAGAAAAACAAGAGAGAGAGAGAGAGAGAAAAACAAAGAAAATACAAGAGAGAGAGAGAGAGAAAAAAAAACAAAGAAAATACAAGAGAGAGAGAGAGAGAGAAAAAAACAAAGAAAAAGAGAGAGAGAGAGAAAAAAAAACAAAGAAAATAGAGAGAGAGAAAAAACCTTCCTTTTGTCTAAAAAAAAATAGAGAGAGAGAGAGAAAAAAACAAAGAAAATACTAGAGAGAGAGAGAAAAAAAAAGAGAAAGAAAAAAGAAAGTAAAGAGAGAGAGAAAAACAAAGAAAAACAAGAGAGAGAAAAAAAACAAAAAAGAGAGAGAGAAAAAAAAGAAGAGAGAGAGTAAAAAGAAAGAAAAAATACAAGAGAGAGAAAAAATGAAAAGAAAATACAAGAGAGATTGAAAAAACAAAGAAAATGCAAGAGAGAGAGAGAGAAAAAACAAAGAAAAAAAGAGAGAAAAAAAAAACAAAGAAAATAAGAGAGAGAGAGTAAAAACAAAGAAAATACAAGAGAGAGAGAGAGACAAAAAAAAAACAAAGAAAAAAACAAAAGAAAATAAGAGAGAATGAAAAAAAAAAGACAAGAGAGAGAGAGACAAAAAACAAAGAAACAAGAGAGAGAGAGAGAGAGAAAAACAAAGAAAATACAAGAGAGAGAGAGAGAAAAAACAAAGAAAATACAAGAGAGAGAGAGAAAAAAAAACAAAGAAAATACAAGAGAGAGAGAAAAAAAGAAATACAAGAGAGAGAGAGAGTAAAAACAAAAAAAACAAGAGAGAGAAAAAAAACAAAGAAAAAAAAGAGAAAGTTAAAGAAAGAAGAGAGAGAGAAAAAAACAAAAAAACAAAAGAGAAGAAAAAAAAAAAAAAAGAAAAAAGAGAGAGAAAAAAACAAAAAAAAATAGAGAGAGAGAGAGTAAAAAAACAAAGAAAATACAAGAGAGAGAGAGAAAAAAACAAAGAAATATAAGAGAGAGAGAGAGAAAAAACAAAGAAAATACAAGAGAGAGAGAGAGACTAAAAAACGAAAGAAAATACAAGAGGGAGAGAGAGAGAGAAAAACAAAGAAAAACAAGAGAAGAGAAAAAAAAAAAAAAAATACAAGAGAGAGAGAGTAAAAAAAAACAAAGAAAATAAAGAGAGAACCCTTTAAAAAAAAAAGAAAAAGCAAGAGAGAGAGAGAGAAAAAAACAAAGAAAACAAAGAGAGAGAGGTGCAAAAAAAAAAAAGAGAGAGAGAGAAAAAAAACAAAGAAAATACAAGAGAGAGAGAGAGAGAAAAAAAGAGAAGAAAAAAAGAAAGAAAGAGAGAGAGAGAGAAAAAACAAAGAAAAAATACAAAAGAGAGAGAGAAAAGAAAAAAATACAAGAGAGAGAGAGAGTAAAAAAAAAGAAAAATACAAGAGAGAGAGAGAGAGAGAGAAAAAACAAAAAAAAAAAATACAAGAGAGAGAGAAAAAAAACAAAGAAAATACAAGAGAGAGAGAGAGAAAAAAACAAAGAAAATACAAGAGAGAGAGAGAGAAAAACAAAGAAAATACAAGAGAGAGAGAGAGAGAGAAAAAAAACAAAGAAAATACAAGAGAGAGAGAGAAAAAAAAAAATAAAATAGAGAGAGAGAGAGAAAAAAACAAAGAAAAAAAACAAGAGAAGAAGAAAAAACAAAGAAAAGACAAGAGAGAGAGAGAGAAAAAAACAAAGAAAATAAAGAGAGAGAGAGAGAAAAAAAAAGAGAAGAAAAACAAAGAAAAAGAGAGAGAAAAAACAAAGAAAATATAAGAGAGAAAGAAAAGAGAGAGAAAAAAACAAAAGAAAAGGGCAAGAGAGAGAGAGAAAAAAAACAAAGAAAATACAAGAGAGAGAGAGAGAAAAAATCTGCCTCGTCAGTCAAAAGAAAAAAACAAAAGAAAGAGAGAGAGAGAAAAACAAAGAAAACACAAGAGAGAGAGAGAGAGAAAAAAACAAAGAAAATATAGAGAGAGAAAAACAAAGAAAAAACAAGAAGAGAGAGAGAGAAAAAAAAAAGAAAATACAAGAGAGAGAGAGAGTAAAAAAACTCTTCTCCTCCTAGAGAGAGAGAGGGTAAAAAAAAGAAAAGACAAGAGAGAGAGAGAGAAAACAAAAATACAAGAGAGTTAAAAAAACAAAGAAAATACAAGAGAGAGAGAGAGAAAAAAAAAAATAAAGAAAAAAAGAGAGAGAGAGTAAAAACACAAAGAAAAAAAGAGAGAGAGAAAAAAAACAAAGAGAGAGAGAGAGAGAGAAAAACAAAGAAAATACAAGAGAGAGAGAGAGAGAAAAAACAAAGAAAATACAAGAGAGAGAGAGAGAGAGAAAAAAAAAAGAAAATAAAAGAGAGAGAGTGAAAAAAAAAAAAAGAAATTAAGAAAAAAAAAAACAAAGAAAATAGAGAGAAAAACAAAGAAAATACAAGAGAGAGAGAGTAAAAAAAACAAAGAAAATACAAGAGAGAGAGAGAGTAAAAAAAACAAAGAAAATACAAGAGAGAGAGAGAGAGAGAAAAAAAACAAAGAAAATACAAGAGAGAGAGAGAGAAAAAAACAAAGAAAATTACAGAGAGAGAGAGAGAGAAAAAAACAAAAGAAAATACAAAGAGAGAGAGAGAGTAAAAAAAAAAGAAAATACAAGAGAGAGAGAGAGAGAAAAAACAAAGAAAATACGAGAGAGAGAGAAAAAACAAAGAAAATACGAAGAGAGAGAGAAGAGAGAGAGAAAAAAAGCAAAGAAAATACAAGAAGAGAGAGAGAGAGAAAAAACAAAGAAAATACAAGAGAGAGAGAGAGTAAAAAAACAAAGAAAAATACGAGAGAGAGAGAAAAAAAAAGAAAAATACAAGAGAGAAAAAAAGAAAACAAAGAAAATACATTTTAAAAGAAGGTACAAGAAAAATTAAAACAAAGAAAAAATGAAACAAAAAAAGAGAAAAAACAAAGAAAGAGAGAGAGAGTAAAAAAAAAAAAAAATACAAGAGAGAGAAGAGAAAAAGAAAAAAGAAAAATACAAGAGAGAGAGAGAAAAAACAAAGAAAATACAAGAGAGAGAGAGAGAGAGAAAAAACAAAGAAAATACAAGAGAGAGAGAAAAAGAAAAAAAATAAAGAAAGAAGAAAGAGAGAGAGAGAGAAAAAAAAAAGAAAATACAAGAGAGAGAAAAAAACAAAGAAAATACAAGAGAGAGAGAGAGAAAAAAACAAAGAAAATAAGAGAGAGAGAGAGAGAAAAAAAAAGAAAATACAAGAGAGAGAGAGAGAAAAAAAAAAAAGAAAAAGAGAGAGAGAGAAAAAAAACAAAGAAAAGACAAGAGAGAGAGAGAGAGAAAAAAAAAGAAAGAGAAGAGAGAGAGAGAGAGAGAGAAAAAAACAAAGAAAAGAAAAGAGAGAAGAGAGAGAGAGAAAAAAGCCAAAAAAAAAACAAAAGAAGAGAGAGAGAGAAAAAAAAAAAGAAAAATTAAGAGAAGAGAGAGAAAAAAAAAAGAAAAAAACAAGAGAGAGAGAGAGAAAAAAAAGAAAATACAAGAGAGAGAGAGAGAGAGTAAAAACAAAGAAAAATACAATCAAAGAGAGAGAGAGAGAAAAAAAGAGAAAAATTGAAAAGAGAGAGAGAGAGAGAGAGAAAAAACAAAGAAAATACAAGAGAGAGAGAGAGAGAGAAAAAACAAAGAAAATACAAGAGAAGAGAGAGAGAAAAAAAAAAAAAAACAAGAGAGAGAGAGAGAGAGAGAGAGAAAAAACAAAGAGAGAGAAAAAACAAAGAAAAGGGAGAGAGAGAGAAAAAAAAAGAAAAATACAAGAGAGAGAGAGAGAGAAAAAAACAAAGAAAAAAAGAGAGAGAGAGAGAAAAAAAAAAAAAAATTTAGAGAGAGAGAGAGAAAAAAAAAAAATAAAGAGAGAGAGAGAGAGAAAAACAAAAGAAAATACAAGAGAGAGAAAAAAAAAAAAAAATAAAGAGAGAGAGAGAGAGAAAAAAAAAAGAGAGAAAAAAAACAAGAAGAGAGAGAGAGAAAAAAAAAAGAAAATACAAGAGAGAGATGTCAAAAAACAAAGAAAAACAAGAGAGAGAGAGTAAAAAAACAAAGAAAAAGAGAGAGAGAGAGAAAAAAAAAAAAGAAAAAGAGAGGTTTTTCAAAATACAAAAAAAAAAAAATCTGAGAAAATACAAGAGAGAGAGAGAGAAAAAAAGAAAAATACAAGAGAGAGAGAAAAAAAAACAAAGAAAAAAAGAAGAGAGAGAGAGAGAGAAAATGGGCAGAGATTCAAAAAACAAAGAAAATCAAGAGAGAGAGAGAAAGAAAAACAAAGATTTTGCAAGAGAGAGAATAAAAACAAAGAAAATACAAGAGAGAGAGAGAGAAAAAAAAACAAGAGAGAGAGAGAGAGAGAAAAAAAACAAAGAAAAAGAGAGAGAGAAAAAATAAAGAAAATCACAAGAGAGAGAGAGAAAAAAAACAAAGAAAATACAAGAGAGAGAGAGAGAGAAAAAAACAAAAAAAAAGAGAGAGAGAGAGAAAAAAAAACAAAGAAAAGCAAGAGAGAGAGAGAGAGAGAGAGAGAGAAAAAAAACAAAGAAAAATGAAAAGAGAGAGAGAAAGAGAGAGAGAAAAAACAAAGAAAATACAAGAGAGAGAGATGAAAAAACAAAAAAAATCTCTATAGAGAGAGAGAAAGAGAAAAAACAAAAAATAAAAAAAACAGAGAGAAAAAAAAAAAAAGAGAGAGAAAAAACAAAGAAAAAAAGAGAGAAAAAACAAAGAAAATAAAGTTAGAGAGAGAGAGATTCTCTCTGAAAAGAAAATACAAGAGAGAGAGAGAAAAACAAAGAAAATAAGAAAGAGAAAAAAACAAAGACAAGAGAGAGAGAAAAAAACAAAGAAAATACAAGAGAGAGAGAGAGAGAGAGAGAAAAAACAAAAAAAACAAAGAGAGAGAGAAAAAACAAAGAAAATACAAGAGAGAGAGAGAGAGAAAAAACAAAGAAAATAAAGAGAGAGAGAGAGAAAAAAACAAAGAAAAAAAGAGAGAGAGAGAGAGAGAGAGAAAAACAAAGAGAAAGAGAGAGAGAGAGAAAATTTAAAAAAATACATGGCTGAGAGAGAGAGAGAGAAAAAACAAAAAAATACAAGAGAGAGAGAGAGAGAAAAAACAAAGAAAATGGGTCCAGAGAGAGAGTTAAAAAAACAAAGAAAATACAAGAGAGAGAGACACAGAGAAAATACAAGAGAGAGAGAGAGAGAAAAAAAAAAAAAGAGAGAGAGAAAAAAACAAAGAAAAGAGAGAGAGAGAGAGAGAAAAAAACAAAGAAAAACAAGAGAGAGAGAGAGAGAAAAAAACAAAGAAAATAAGAAAGAGAGAGAAAAAAACAAAGAAAAATAAAGAGAGAAGAGAGAAAAAAGACAAAGAAAATACAAAGAGAGAGAGAGAGAGAAAAAACAAAGAAAAGACAAGAGAGAGAGAGAAAAAACAAAAGAACAAAGAGAGAGAGAGAAAAACAAAAAAAAGAAAGAAAGAGAGAGAGAGAGAGAAAAAAACAAAGAAAATACAAGAGAGAGAGAGAAAAAAAAAGAAAAACAAGAGAGAGAGAGAGAAAAAAAAAGAAAAATACAAGAGAGAGAGAAAAAAAAACAAAGAAAATACAAAGAGAGAGAGAGAGACAAAAAAAAAAAGAGAAGAAGAGAGAGAAAAAAACAAAGAAACAGAGAGAGAGAGTAAAAAAAAAGAAAATACAAGAGAGAGAGAGAGAAAAAACAAAGAAAACAAAGGGAAGAGAGAGAGAAAAAAACAAAGAAAAATACAGAGAGAGTAAAAAAAGAAAGAAAAATACAAGAGAAAAGAAAAGAAGAAAAGAGAGAGAGATTAAAAAACAAAGAAAAAAGAGAGAGAGAGAGAAAAAACAAAGAAAATAAGAAGAGAGAGAGAAAAAAAAAGAAAAAAGAGAGAGAGAGAGAGAAAAACAAAGAAAGAAAAAGAGAGAGAGAGAGTAAAAAAACAAAATAAAAAAGAGAGAGAAAAAATACAAGAGAGAGAGAGAGAGTAAAAAAAAAAAAATACAAAGAGAGAGACAAGAGAGAGAGAGAAAAAACAAAGAAAAAAAGAGAACAAGAGAGAAGAAAAAAAAAGAAATACAAGAGAGAGAGAGTTAAAAAACAAAGAAAATAAAGAGAGAGAGAAAAAAACAAAGAAAATACAAGAGAGAGAGAGAGAAAAAACAAAGAAAATACAAGAGAGAGAGAGAGAGAAAAAACAAAGAAAATACAAGAGAGAGAGAGAGAAAAAAAACAAAGAAAATACAAGAGAGAGAGAGAGAGAAAAAAAACAAAGAAAAGAGAGAGAGAGAAAAGAGAGAAAGAGAGAGAGAATAAAAACAAAGAAATACAAGAGAGAGAGACAAAGAAAGAGAAAAAAGAAAAGAAAAACAAAGAAGAGAGAGAAAGAGAAAGAAATAAAGAGACAAAGAGAGAGAGAAAAACAAAAAAAAAAACAAAGAGAGAGAGAGAGTAAAAAAAACAAAGAAAATACAAGAGAGAGAGAGAGAGTAAAAAAAACAAAGAAAATACAAGAGAGAGAGAGAGAGAGAAAAAACAAAGAAAATACAAGAGAGAGAGAGAGAAAAAAACAAAAAGAGAAGAGAGAGAGAGACAAAAAACAAAGAAAATAAGAGAGAGAGAGAGAGACAAAAAAACAGAAAGAGAGAGAAAAAAACAAAAGAAAATACAAGAGAGAGAGAGAGTAAAAAAACAAAGAAAATACAAGAGAGAGAGAAAAAAAAGGAAAAAAAAGAGAGAGAGAGAGTAAAAAAAAAGAGAAAATACAAGAGAGAGAGAGAGAAAAAAAAAAGGAAAAACAGAGAGAGAGAAGAAAAAAACAAAGAAAATAGAGAGAGAGAGAAAAAAAAAGAAAATACAAGAGAGAGAGAGAGACAAAGAAAAGGGAAAAAGAAGAGAGAGAAAACAAACCTAAAAATACAAGAGAGAGAGAAAAAAAAAGAAAATACAAGAGAGAGAGAAAAAAAAAGGGAAAATACAAGAGAGAGAGAGAGAAAAACAAAGAAAAATACAAGAGAGAGAGAGAGAAAAAACAAAAGAAAATACAAGAGAGAGAGAGAGAAAAAAAAAAAGGAGAGAGAGAGAGAGAAAAAAAAACAAAGAAAATACAAGAGAGAGAAAAAAAAACAAAATAAATACAAGAGAGAGAGAGTAAAAAAAAAAGAAAATACAAGAGAGAGAGAGAGAGAAAAAAACAAAGAAAATACAAGAGAGAGAGAGTAAAAAAACAAAGAAAATACAAGAGAGAGAGAGAGAAAAAAAAGAAAAATAAGAGAGAGAGAGAGAGAGAAAAAGGAAAAACAAGAGAGAGAGAGAGAGAGAAAAACAAAGAAAATAAGAGAGAGAGAGTAAAAACAAAGAAAATACAAGAAGAGAGAGAGAAAAAAAAAGAAAAATACAGAGAGAGAGAGAGTAAAGAAAGAAAAAACAAGAGAGAAAAATACAAGAGAGAGAGAAAAGGGAAAATACAAGAGAAAAGAGAAAAAAGGGAAAACAAGAGAGAGAGAGAGAAAAAACAAAGAAAATACAAGAGAGAGAGTAAAAAAACAAAGAAAAAAGAAGAGAGAGAGAGAAAAAAGAAAAAAACAAAGAGAGAGAGAGAAAAAAAAAAGAAAATACAAAGAGAGAGAGAGAAAAAAACAAAGAAAATAAAAGAGAGAGAGAGAAAAAAAACAAAGAGAGATAGAGAAAGGGAAAGAGAGAGAGAGAGAAAAAACAAAGAAAATACAATAGAGAGAGAGAGAAAAAAAAGAAAAAAGAGAGAGAGAGAGAAAAAAACAAAAGAAAAAAGAGAGAGAGAGAGAAAAAAATACAAGAGAAAGAAAAGAGAGAAAAGAGAAAAAAACAAAGAAAATACAAGAGAGAGAGAGAAAAAAAAAAAAAAAAGAGAGAGAGAGAGAGTAAAAAAAACAAAGAAAATCAGAGAGAGAGAGAGAGAAAAAAAAAGAAAATACAAGAGAGAGAGAAAAAAAAAAAAGAAAAAACAAGAGAGAGAGTCAAAAAAAAGGAAAACAAAGAAGAGAGAGAGAGAAAAAGAGAAGAGAGAGAGAGAAAAACAAAGAAAATACAAGAGAGAGAGAAAAAAAAAAAATACAAGAGAGAGAGAGAGAAAAAAACAAAGAAAATACAAGAGAGAGAGAGAAAAAACAAAGAAAATACAAAGAGAGAGAGAGAGAAAAACAAAGAAAATACAAGAGAGAGAGAGAGAAAAAAAAACAAAGAAAATACAAGAGAGAGAGAGAGAGAAAAAAACAAAGAAAATACAAGAGAGAGAGAGAAAAAAACAAAGAAAATACAAGAGAGAGAGAGAGAGAGAAAAAAGAGAGAGAGAAAAAAAAAGGGAGAGACAAGAGAGAGAGAAAAAAACAAAAGAAAATACAAGAGAGAGAGAGAGAGAAAAAAAAAGAAAACAAGAGAGAGAGAGAAAAAAAACAAAGAAAATACAAGAGAGAGAGAGAAAAAAGAAAGAAATAAGAGAGAGAGAGAGAAAAAAAAACAAAAGAAAATACAAGAGAGAGAGAGAAAAAACAAAGAAAAAACAAGAGAGAGAGTAAAAAAAAAGAAAATACAAGAGAGAGAGAGAGAGAGAGAAAAAAAAGAAGAGAGAGAAAAAAACAAAAAAAAAAGAGAGAGAGAGAAAAACAAAGAAAAATACAAGAGAGAGAGAGAAAAAAACAAGAGAGAAGAGAAGAAGAGAGAGAGAGAAAAAACAAAGAAAAATACAAGAGAGAGAGAGAGAAAAAAAAAGAAAAACAAGAGAGAGAGAGAGAAAAACAAAGAAAATAAAAGAGAGAGAGAGAGAAAAAAAAACAAAGAGAAATAAGAGAGAGAGAGAGAGAAAAAAAAGAAAATACAAGAGAGAGAGAGAAAAAAACAAAGAAAAAATAAAGAGAGAGAGAGAGAAAACAAAAGAAATACAAGAGAGAGAGAGAGAAAACAAAGAAAAATACAAGAGAGAGAGAGTAAAAAAACAAAGAAAATACAAGAGAGAGAGAGAGAGATAAAAACAAAAAAAAGAGAGAGAGAGAAAAAAAAAGAAAATACAAGAGAGAGAGAAAAAAAAACAAAAAAAGACAAGAGAGAGAGTAAAAAAACAAAGAAAAATACAAAGAGAGAGAGAGAGAAAAAACAAAGAAAATACAAAGAGAGAGAGAGTAAAAAAAACAAAGAAAATACAAGAGAGAGAGAGAGTAAAAAAACAAAGAAAATACAAGAGAGAGAGAGAGAGAGAGAAAAAAAAAAACAAGAGAGAGAGAAAAAACAAAGAAAAAAGAGAGAGAGAGAGAAAAAAACAAAGAAAATACAAGAGAGAGAGAGAGAAAAAAAAAAAAAAATACAAGAGAGAGAGAGAGAAAAAAAACAAAGAAAAAAAGAAAGAGAAAAAAAAACAAAGATACAAGAGAGAGAGAAAAAAACAAAAGAAAATACAAGAGAGAGAGAGAAAAAAAAAAAAAACAAAAGAGAGAGAGAGAAAAAAACAAAGAAAATACAAGAGAGAGAGAGAGAGAGAGAGAAAAAAGAAAAGAAAAAAAAAAAACAAGAGAGAGAGAGAGAAAAACAAAGAAAATACAAAAAGAGAGAGAAAAAAACAAAGAAAATAAAAGAGAGAAAAAAAAAAGAGAGAGAGAGAGAAAAAAAGAAAATAGAGAGAGAGAGAGAGAAAATAGAAAAGAGAAAAAGAAAAGAGAGAAAGAGAAAAAAAGAGAGAAAAAAAACAAAGAAAAAGAAAATAGAGAGAGAGAGAGAGAGAAAAGCAAAAAGAGAAAAAAGAAAAAAAAAAAGAAAAGAGAGAGAGAGAAAAAAGAAAGAAAAAAAAGAAAGAGAGAGAAAAAAACAAAAAAAAAAAGAAAAAAACAAAAAAAGAGAAAAGAGAGAGAGAGAGATAAAAGAAAATGAAAAAGAGAGAGAATAAAGTGAATATACAGAATAGAGGGAGAGAAGAGGGGAAGAGAGAGTGGAAGACAAAATTTTCACCTCCTAGTCAAACTTCCAAAGACCTTTATGAAGACTTTTATGCGAAGGTGTTTCGAATAATAAAATCTTCATATTTAAGATGGAGGTTAAAAATTCTTTTTAAATAGTTTTTCTTTCATTGTTATTTTTACAGTTTTTCGAATTTATAATTTGTCGGAAAAGGATTAAAAAAAAATCCCACGAAGATATTAATATTCCAATTCACAGCAGATAATCCTGATTCCTGTCACTGTCGTTAGCGGATCGTTTGATGTATCGCCGCCGGCCTGCCTTTGTGCTGTAAAGAGTGTCTACATTTGCAGATGAGTCGAGTCCGTTTGATGCATAAGCCGCCGGCTGGTCTTAGAAGAGTAAAGGAAGTACTTCTGAGGCAGAGAGAGCTAAAACAAAATTAAATTTTTCATGACTTGTTTATTCAGTCTGTCATCTGAGTCGATTCACAGTTGACTAGATTACTACTGAAAAAAAACTTTTTATATGTCTTAGGAGGATCGTAAATTAGATTTTTTAAATTACTTTGAAATCAACTGAGATTAAAATTATTTTTATATCGAGTGGCCTGCTCCTCAATTTTTTAAGCATTTCATCCCAAGCAAGCAGAAGTGCCACTAGCACGCAAGGGGTTACAGAGAGTGAAAGTAAGAGTAAATAGAGAGGCGTTACAGAGAGTGAGAGTAAATTAAGTAGAGGGGTTACAGGTTGGAGGTTAGAGAGAAACAGAGGAGAAAAGAGAGGCGTTACAGAGAGTGAGAGTAAAGAGAGAGGCGTTACAGAGAGTGAGAGTAAAGAGAGAGGCGTTACAGAGAGTCAGAGTAAGAGTATAGAGGGTTGTTTGAGGAAAGGACAAAGAGAAGGACGGGGATCAAGATCAAGGCATCAGAAGATGTCGATTGACATTATATTTCAATTTTTGAAGATCATATTTATCAGAGAAGCAAGTAAGAGGAAGGGAGTTCCACTGTCGGGAAGTGCAAGAGAAGAAGCGGTTACATTTAACTGTTTCGACAGTTATACAGTGGGACTGAGATGCCAACCTAGTAGCACGCTTAGATTCATGCAGTTGAGGCACCAGTGAAAATAGCTAGTCAGAGCAGTTGCCATAAAAAATATTTGTAGAAAAGACAGAGGGAAGCCACATCAAGTCTGTGTGAAAGTGACTGGAGTCAAGTTGCCAGGTCAGGACCTATTACATTGCATATCTGTCTTTGGATTTTGTCGAGAACCTAGAGATGAAATCGGGGGCACCAGACCATATATGGCAACAGTATTCCATTCAAAGACGAATGGTAGATTTGAAGGATTGATTCAAACGCGAAAAAAATTCTGGCGCGGCACGAAGAACCAACTTTCTTTTTAGTAGATGAAGCTATTGATTCAGTGTAGGTGTTCCACCTCAGGAAGACCAAGAAGGCGTAGAGAGACGCTCTCGTCAAGTTGAATATCAGCCATGATGATAGGAAGCAGGGTGGTGTCTCTATGGTGTGTAAATGGGAGCAGTTTCGTTTTTTTTTAGGCATTAAAATTTACAAACCATTTCCTACAGCAGTCTATCACGGATTGGAGAGCTTTTCGAGACCAACAGCCAGGTTAACTGTCAGTAATGCCGGATTTATTAATATGCCCCATTTTTATTTTAGGTGGTTTCCTTTGGAAACTTAAATTTCCTGGTCTTATTCCGAGGTCACCATCTGACAGTCATCTAACGACATTGACAACTTAGCGTACATCCACAAAACATTGGCCTACCAGATACTTCACAGGTATCCCTCCTATTGTCGGGTTGTGTTACGTCTTTAGATTATAGTGGTGTGTTAGGAATTCCCCAATAGGAACCTGAACGCTGAAACACTGGCTGAATCAACAACAAAATCTTCTTAAGGTTACTTTTTCTAATCCCTTTATTACAGGGGGGTCGTCATAATAGGCATCGTTTCTTTGAAGAGAGGGAGAGACATGACAGATGTCAACAGGTCGGCCAGCTAGTCAGCCTCTCCACATAGTGACTTGTCTTTTGGCCGAGACCACGCTAAGAAATCTGCGAAAAGAAGGTATCAGGCTTACTGCAGATACAGTACTTTTTTTGCCTGTTTTCCAGGCCTTGTATGAAAACTTAAAAATCTATCGATATCAGAATTACACATCCACGGGGGGTCAGACAACACCAACTCTATTCGAATGGGGTTGGTCCTGTTCAGTACAATTGTCATTTTTTGGGGGTCTAGCTTACGCTATTTTTCTCTAACATTTCAATATACATCTTTTTAATCGAATTCACTCCATGTAAGGCATTAAAGCCACTAAGACACAAGAGGTTAGGGAAAGAATAAGAAAACAGCAACATTATTGAGAAGCGAGAAAGACTAATCAGGAAGACAGTAGATAACGATTGAGATTTCATTTAAATTTTTGAAAATCAAACTTGATGATTGGAAATCAGGAATCCAGAAGAGAGTTCCACAAGCGAGAAGTGCGAGAAAAAATTAGCATAGAACTTACGGTTATATCTAGTCAGTTCAACCGTAAATTAGTGAGACCTCATCGCTAGTCTAGTACTGCGCTTAAATTCATAAAGTCTAGGTACCAAAGCAAGGAACAATATTTATTCCGCTTATGTACAGAAATGTGGCACAAGGCCAAAATGGTGAATCAAGAAAAAGGATGGTCTTCTGTGTTAACATTAAACTTAGATAGACACGATCCCTAACCCAAACGTACCAACTTACTTACCATTATTACAATATTCACCATAATGCCTCAATGTCTCTATGAAAACCATAAATAGTTCCCATATGTGCAATTCATGTCTGGTGGGGGGGATTATTTATTTGTACAAATACAAGATGTGGTTCAAGGCCAAAAAGAGGAGCGGGTAAAAGGACGGTCTTCTTCTGTCTTAGCATTAAACTTAGCCAGCCACGATCACTGACCCAAACGTTCCAAAATATTTCCTTACACCAAAACAACGCATTCCTACTTGCCATTCTTGCTTCCTCCACCATCCTAACTAGTTCCATTATATTATATATATATTATATATATATATATATATATATATATATCACAGCTGTTTGAGGTTTCCTATAGCCCCACTGAACTTAAAGTCAATTCAGGTTTCCTATGGTAAAAATTTTTTTTCCCAAGTGAAAATCATCACAAAATGGCAAAAGTCATTTTGTCACAGCTTATTTTTTCTCAAAAATGCATTTTCATACTTTTATAAAAAAAAAAAATATTGATAAATGACTGTTTTATCATCACCTAAACAAATATCAAGGAAACTTTTGATCTGAACCCCATGAAACTAGATATTTTCTGAAAGCAAAGGATATATTCTTTCATTTAAAAGTAAAATTAGCTGGTGTAAATGACTCAAAATTTTTTCAGTGGGTAAAATGTGAAAAAATAGTGAAAATTTTGCATTTTTTTCTTGTTCTAAACAAATATTTCCCCCATTAATAGGAAATTAACCATTTTTTTTTTTGAAAATCAGAAAGCCTAAATCATAATCAAACTATTTCAGGCATAAAATTGAGAGTTTTGGAGGAAATCAACATTCCTAGGTGAACAAAATGCGACAAAATCCATTGTTAATTTTCAATTATATGACTGCCAAGGGTTAAAAAAAAATTGACAACCAGCCACGGAAACCTTTAGTAAAAGGCAAGAGATTTATCTGCAACTAGCAGTAGAGCCCGGTGTTGCCCGGGGATGTAACAGTAAGAGATAGATCAAGTATCGACCATCATAAAGACTGAAAAATAAAATTGACAAAGATTATTGTTTAAGGTTGACGGACACGCATGTCTTAATTATTTTTTTTTTTTTTTTTTACGAATTGGTCAAACCCAAATTCAAACAAAAACATTGTTTACAATCGTTATGAGTATCGATTGGTGAATAGAATTTTATTATAAACAATTGTCTTGTAAATGGAATTTTTAAAGCATTCTGAATGTAAAAATAAAGAAAAAAATGTGCACGACACTACCTGCCAAAAAAAAAAAAGTGAAGTTTTGTTGAAATCGGTTGAAAAATGTAGGTAGCCTTTCTCTGTAATCTTTTACAATTTATGATTTTTACTTATTGAATACAGTAAAAAAAAATTGCATATTTTGCTTGTGGTGATTCATAATTAGAATTCTGATTTGAATATACTTTCCACTCGTTGTTTCTAATACAAAAAATATTAACTTTATTTGGGTTTATTAATTTATTACAAGTACTGTGTTCTTTCCTTAATAATTATCATCTTCGAAATATTGTTGTTTTTTGTCTATCAGATTTCTTACGTCGGCATTTTAAAATTATTTCTTAATACTTTCTTTTAAATATTGAATTAATTTAAAATAGAAACAATGCCTTATTGATCTGCCTTGTAACAAATTGCAAAGGGAATTGTAAAAACGGCCCTAAAGTACGTGGAATTATCTTTCCCTAAAGATAAAGAATTATCCGATTTTTCGATTCGTACAATCAGTAGAGATCGTTAGATTATTGTTTAGGTTGACGGACACGCATGTCTTTTACGAATTGGTCAAACTCAAACAAAAACATTGTTTTCAATATCGTTATGATAAGTCCCCGATTGAATAGAATTAGAATTTTATTATAAACAATTGTCGTGTAAATGGAATTTTAAAAGCATTCTGAATGTATAAATAAAGAAAAAAGTGTGCAAGACAATAAGAAATACTACCTGCCAAAAAAAAAGTGGATATTTGTTTTATCGGCTAAAAAATGTAAGAAATCCGATCCCATATATAAAGGAACACACACACACATACACACACATACACACACAAACACACACAACCTGGGTTTTTTAACCTAAGTCACTCCACGGAATCGCTAAAACAGAGCATAGTCTGATGAAAAAGACGCCAAAGTTTATGAAAACAACATTTTATCGTCAAAATGCTTATGTTTTTATGAAGAGGATAGACTAAATTTTTTTTTAATTATTTTTTTAAAATTTTTCCATCTTTTTAGAATATTCTAAATTT